TCGCCCACACGTACGCCACTATCATATTGTTCTATGATGTTTTTCTTAAATTCAATCGTATTTCTCACCTTCTTTACCAAAGGCTTGGCACTAGGAGCTTTCTTTAGAGCCATGGTAGCTTATTTAGCACTTAAATAACTTGCAAGCACTAAAATAAATGAAATATTATGAAATATTTCACTGGAGCACGTGAGGGGACCGTCGCTCACTGGTAAACAATGGCACACTGGCTGGGAAGGAAAGGCCGAGGCGGCTCGAGGCCGCTCAGACCGTGAGTACGCGTCCGGGACGAAGGACTATTAGCGAGTTACCGGACCATTTCCGAGCCAATATTTTGACGAAAAAACAGGACTATTTCCGAAATAGACGATTTTCAGGCCGGACGATTATTGAGGGACCACTGTACATACATATACTGTACAGTGGAACCTCGGTACTCGAACTTAATTCATTCCAGAAGGCTGTTCAAGTGCCGATCCGTTCAAGTACATGTATTGAACAAATTCTTCCCATCCAATTTTCGTTTTAGTTAGCTGTTATCATTAATCTTCATAGGTGTACTTATACAATATAAAAAAAAAAAAAATGCGAAGAAACACAAACTAGTTTACAGTGAAGTTCTGGCAGGTCGTGTTTGGTTGAGTGCTGAGCTTTGTTCGAGTAGGGAGCTTTTTGAGTACTGAGGTTCCACTGTATGTGCATCCAGACTTGTATTGTACTAAAAATGAGATTAAGCTAAGGGACTGCTAGAGCCTGATCTGGCCATGAATGAAAACACCTGTTTACAGACAAAACTGACATGGACAGATTTTACTAGGAAAGATGCAGAACAATGGGACATAAATGGAACTCGAACACGAAGATGAGTCAGAGAAATAGGGAAACACTTTAATATACTGTAAAAGGTGTGTAAAGATAGAAAGTTGAAAGTGAACATAGAAAAGAGTAAGGTGATGATAGTATCAAATGATTTAGATAAAGAAAAATTGGATATCAAATTGGAGAGGAGTATGGAAGAAGTGAATGTTTTCAGATATTTGGGAGTTGGCGTGTCAGCGGATGGATTTATGAAGGATGAGGTTAATCACAGAATTGATGAGGGAAAAAAGGTGAGTGGTGCATTGAGGTATATTTTTTTATTATATTATTATCACACTGGCTGATTCCCACCAAGGCAGGGTGGCCCGAAAAAGAAAAACTTTCACCATCATTCACTCCATCACTGTCTTGCCAGAAGGGTGCTTTACACTACAGTTTTTAAACTGCAACATTAACACCCCTCCTTCAGAGTGCAGGCACTGTACTTCCCATCTCCAGGACTCAAGTCCGGCCTGCCGGTTTCCCTGAACCCCTTCCCTGAACCACGTCAAGTATTAAAAACCATTTGTCTCCATTCACTCCTATCAAACACGCTCACGCATGCCTGCTGGAAGTCCAAGCCCCTCGCACACAAAACCTCCTTTACCCCCTCCCTCCAACCTTTCCTAGGCCGACCCCTACCCCGCCTTCCTTCCACTACAGACTGATACACTCTTGAAGTCACTCTGTTTCGCTCCATTCTCTCTACATGTCCGAACCACATCAACAACCCTTCCTCAGCCCTCTGGACAACAGTTTTGGTAATCCCGCACCTCCTCCTAACTTCCAAACTACGAATTCTCTGCATTATATTCACACCACACATTGCCCTCAGACATGACATCTCCACTGCCTCCAGCCTCCTCCTCCTCACTGCAACATTCATCACCCATGCTTCACACCCATATAAGAGCATTGGTAAAACTATACTCTCATACATTCCCCTCTTTGCCTCCAAGGACAAAGTTCTTTGTCTCCACAGACTCCTAAGTGCACCACTCACCCTTTTCCCTTCATCAATTCTATGATTCACCTCATCTTTCATAGACCCATCCGCTGACACGTCCACTCCCAAATATCTGAAAACATTCACCTCCTCCATACTCTCTCCCTCCAATCTGATATCCAATCTTTCATCACCTAATCTTTTTGTTATCCTCATAACCTTACTCTTTCCTGTATTCACTTTTAATTTTCTTCTTTTGCACATCCTACCAAATTCATCCACCAATCTCTGCAACTTCTCTTCAGAATCTCCCAAGAGCACAGTGTCATCAGCAAAGAGCAACTGTGACAACTCCCACTTTATGTGTGATTCTTTATCTTTTAACTCCACGCCTCTTGCCAAGACCCTCGCATTTACTTCTCTTACAACCCCATCTATAAATATATTAAACAACCACAGTGACATCACACATCCTTGTCTAAGGCCTACTTTTACTGGGAAATAATTTCCCTCTTTCCTGCATACTCTAACTTGAGCCTCACTATCCTCGTAAAAACTCTTCACTGCTTTCAGTAACCTACCTCCTACACCATACACCTGCAACATCTGCCACATTGAGGTATATGTGGAGACAAAAAAACGTTATCTATATAGGCAAAGAAGGGAATGTATGAAAGTATAGTGGTACCAACACTCTTATATGGGTGTGAAGCTTGAGTTGTAAATGCTGTAGCAAAGAGACGGTTGGAGACAGTGGAGATGTTCTGTCTAAGGGCAATGTGTGGTGTAAATATTATGCAGAAAATTCAGTGTGTGGAAATTAGGAGAAGGTGTGGCATTAATAAAAGTATTAGTCAGAGGGCTGAAGAGGGGTTGTTGAGGTGGTTTGGTCATTTAGAGAGAATGGATCAAAGTAGAATGACATGGAGAACATATAAATCTGTAGGGGAAGGAAGGCGGGGTAGGGGTCGTCCTCAAAAAGGTTGGAGGGAAGGGGTAAAGGAGGTTTTGTGGGTGAGGGGCTTGGACTTCCAGCAAGCTTGCATGAGTGTGTTAGATCGGAGTGAATGGAGATGAATGGTATTTGGGACCTGACGAGTTGGTGGAGTGTGAGCAGGGTAATATTTAGTGAAAGGATTCAGGAAAACCTGTTATTTTTATATAAACAGACTTGAGTCCTGGAAATGGGAAGTGCAATGCCTGCACTTCAAAGGAGGGGTTTGGGATACTGGCAGTTTGGAGGGATGTGTTTGTGTATCTTTATATGTATATGCTTCTAAACTGTTGTATTCTGAGCACCTCTGCAAAAAACAGTGATTATGTGTGAGTGAGGCGGAAGTGTTGAATAATGATGAAAGTATTTTCTTTTTGGGGATTTTCTTTCTTTTTGGGTTACCCTGCTTTAGTGGGAGACGGCCGACTTGTAAAAAAAAAAAAAAGTATTTAACAGGTAGAATGAACTAAACAATGACACAGTAGATGCACACTTCATACACTTCATACAGGAGTTCAGAAAATAAAACTGATGCACACTTCATACAGGAGTTCAGAAAATAAAACTGAGCTAATTCCTGTCAATCAACTGTTAAGGGATGGACCCAAGAGCTAATGCTCAACAACACACTCACAAATAACTAGATATAAATACAACTTTGTTACTCATTTTGCTGTTAGAGAGCATATATAGAGTCTCCATCTAATTAAGTTCTTGTCTGAAAACAATACTAATCACAATATCAGTTTTACTCATACGCTAGTTAATAATACAAATCACCACACTTGAGACTTAAAAACTAGCAGAATGGCATGACTGCAAAACTTGTCTTGTTTATATACTTAGGGGGAAACAAGTACCCTTTTAAATTTAACATTAAACCGAAAGGGATAATTTTCCAAAAGTTTATCTGCTGAATATATTGAAACTTCTTTTTTTGTATAGTATTAGAATAATGGTAGATGAAATGCATTGTAACCCCCTATTTATGTGCATCATTAATTTGAGAGTGTTAAGATTGTTTCACCCTTTTATAGTACAGCTAGCCCTCCACTTTCGCAAGTTCCACTTTTGCAAGCTTCGAACATTCGCAAATGCCCAGCCGCCCAATCATATACAATATTTTACGATGTTTTTGTGTCTTTTATGATTGTTTGTGGTTCAGTAGGTTAAGGAAGCAGTATTGTTAGGCTAAGTAAATGCTATTATTATATTTCCCTACAATATATTTGCGCTACAGTGCAGTATTATTATATTTCCCTACATCATGCTTGCACACCTAACATTTGTGAATTTTCAAGATTCATGAGGTTCTTGACCACCTAAGCCTCACGAATGTGGAGGGCCTCCTGTACATCATTACACACCTGATGTATCAGATGAGGCCTATATAGTAAGCTCTTGATTTAACTGACTAACAGAGGACAAGCAGGTGACCAGTAATGGTGATTGTGGTGGCTGGAGATGAGGTTGTTTAACTGTGATCATAACAGCAACAGACAACTTTGTACCCAACAGACTTTGTCCATTGTTTTTTATCATTTCCCACATTTCTTAAATCCATTAACTAGAGGTCTAATAAATTGAGGGTTCATTGCACTTCCATTCATTCTCATGTTCCCTCCTAAAACAGAGTTCTACTACACACAACCTGCACTCTTCCTCCTAACATATTCTGTAATGTCCCTCTCTTTCGAAAGCCACATCCTTACATCCTTTAAACTTGGCCATGGTGTATTCCTATATCTTGTACTCAACACATCACCCAATTAGAGTAAAAAGAACCAAAACTGGTGTGAAAACATAGCACTGCACCTCAAGCCATGCTACAGTCAGTAACATACCCTGAAGTTGCAGTCAACCCATGAAAGCTTTGTAAATTATGAAAAAAAAAAATTCAAATTTTGTGCTACAAATTCTAAAAATCAGTGTTATGCATGATTTCATTCACTTACAAAATTTGGCTTCAAGGATCTTCATATCATAGGGTAATTTATTGCATTTTTCATTAATTATTCATTTTTATTATACCATAAGCAGCCCTCCACATAAAATAATTATTCATTTTTATTATATGTGGTTCCCACAAGCAACAGTTTAAGAATTTGTTGCATGAATAATTGTTGTTAGCAAATGTCTTTCCTCAAGATCAAAGAATTACAGAGTTATTATCTTTACTTGTTAACTGCAACAACATCTCACCTGACAGTAACGGACAATGCCCATGTCTCTTCCACTCCAATAGTAAGAAAAATGGCCATAGCCTGTGAGGAACAGGTACGCGGACACAAGAACACGAATATGCATGTAAATTGGCAGAACCTGCGAGGCTCCAGTCATGTGATAAATGAGAATCACCAGTTGCATCCAGCCTGGGGAGAGAAGAATACTGTCTAAATAATGACATAGGCAGTGATTATGTATGAATGATAGTGAAAGTATTTCTTTCTTTTTTGGGTCGCCCTGCTTTGGTGAGAGACGGCCAGCACGTTGAAAAAAATTCTGAGTGAATGATGGTGAATGTGGTTCCTTCTTTGGGTATCCTACCATGATGGAAGATGGCCAACGTTGTAATAAAAAGGATGCAAATGAAGCACTAATGTGGATTCAAAAAGATGTACAGTACTGTGGATTATTTTTATTAACATAAATAGGCAAATTCCTAGTAGTAGGTTGGTAGACAGCAACCGCCCAGGGAGGTACTACCGTCCTGCCAAGTGAGTGTAAAACTGAAGCCTGTAATTGTTTTACACGATGGTAGGATTGCTGGTGTCTTTTTTTTTCTGTCTCATACACATGCAAGATTTCAGGTATGTCTTGCTACTTCTACTTACACTTAGGTCACACTACACATACATGTACAAGCATATATATACACACCCCTTTGGGTTTTCTTCTATTTTCTTTCTAGTTCTTGTTCTTGTTTATTTCCTCTTACCTCCATGGGGAAGTGGAACAGAATTCTTCCTCCGTAAGCCATGCGTGTTGTAAGAGGCGACTAAAATGCCGGGAGCAAGGGGCTAGTAACCCCTTCTCTTGTATATATTACTAAATTTAAAAGGCAAAACTTTCGTTTTTCCTTTTGGGCCACCCCGCCTTGGTGGGATATGGCTGGTACGTTGAAAGAAGAAGAAATAGGCAAATGGAAAACACTAATTGGTAACTGAGGTATTAACCCCCTAACAGCAGTTCCATTATAAGTGAAACTACTACTGTTTCTTCTTCTTCCAAGGCGGAGAAGGGGTTACTAGCCCCTTGCTCATGGCATTTTAGTCGACTTTTACAACACGCATGGCTTACGGAGGAAGAATTCTGTTCCACTTCCCCGTGGAGATAAGAGGAAATAAAAACAAGAACTAGTAAGAGAAAAGAAGAAAACTCAGAGGGGTGTGTATATATATATACTTGTATATGCATGTGTAGTGTGACCTAAGTGTAAGTAGAAGTAACAAGACGTATACCTGAAATTTTGCATGTTTATGAGACAGATAAAAGACACCAGCAATCTTACCATCATGTAAAACAATTACAGGCTTTCATTTTACACTCACATGGCAGGATGGTAGTATCTCCCTGGGCGGTTGCTGAATACCAACCTACTACCTAGGATAAGTGAAACTATTATGAGTTAAAATTTTGCTATTAATGAAACCAGTCTCAAAGAGCATATCCAGATGCCAATTTTGGACAAAAATAAATAAATAAATTATTAAAATAAAATAAAGAAAATGGCATTATAATAACCATATTTACTTCCAAACAATATATTGCTATAGTGTCTCAGAATGTGAGGAGAATTAAAATTTAATTGAAGAACTGTTAACCCTTTCAGGGTACATCCCGTAGATCTACGGCTTTATGTTCAGGGTCCAAACCATAGATCTACGCCATGAGCTCAGCTCACTCTGATAAACTGTGAGTGGTACATTTGGGCCTAGATATGAGAGAATACATCTATGTGGTATGTGTGCACCACATAAAACAGATCCTGCAGCACACTGTGTATAATGAGAGAAAAAAACTTAAATCATGATTTTTCGATTAAAACAGCAACTTTGCAGTGTTTTTTCGCATGTTTTTTATAGTTGTATTTGCAATTTCTTGGTCTCATTTGATAGAATGGAAGACATATTACAGAAATAGAGATGATTTTGATTGGTTTTAGCACTGGAAATGGCTTGAAACTGAGCTCAAAGTAGCGGAAATGTTAAATTTTTGCCGATATAAAAATTCATTATGTGAATAAAAAATCAAAATGGAATTTATTTGTAAAGCCTCAAAACATAACTAATGAACAGAGGAAATGTTAATTTAGTGCCAGGAATGCCTACATTGTTTATTCTGGACCCTATTTTGAAATTGGAATATTTTGAACTTTGTGTTAAATTGGCCAAATTAACAATTTCCGATCACTTTATTTTGTAGTTGAAACAGTTGACTTGGCGATTTCTTGTGCTCAATCGATAGAATAGAAGTAATACTAGTGAAATAGCTAAGAATTTGGTTGATTGGAATAATGTAATTGGCCTAAAATGGGAGTCAAAGTCGGCAAAATCGCCGATTCGTAAATGTCGCTGACACATCAAAATTCACGAGAGCATAATTTCGTCAATTTTCCACCAAATTTCGTACTTTTTGTTTTATTACCTTCACAAAAAGATTCTCTACGATTTCATAAGAAAAAATAACAAATTTTTTTTTTTTAAATTCTTGGACACTGGTGCGTGACTCCAGATTTGGGCCTTGGACCCTGAAAGGGTTAAAAAAATGTATAATGCAGAGCATTTGATGATGATATAAGACTAATATTTTAGAGGATTTTATTAAAATTAATGCAAGGAATTTACAAGACTAATTAACAATAATAACAACAATAATGATAATAGGCATAATAATAATAATAATAATAATAATATTTTATTATTATTAACACACTGGCCCAAAAAAAGAAAAACTTTCATCATCACTCACTCCATCACTGTCTTGCCAAAGGCATGCTTACACTAAGTTATAAAACTGCAACATTAACACCCGTCCTTCAGAGTGCAGACACTGTACTTCCCATCTCTAGGACTCAGGTCTGGCCTGTCGGTTTCCCTGAATTCCTTCATAAATGTTACCTTGCTCACACTCCAACAGCATGTCAATAATAATAATAATAATAATAATAATAAATAAGTAAAAATAATGTTGTAGACTGGCTGACATCAACCATCCAGGGAAGTATTAACATCCTGCCATATGAGGATAAAACAGCAACCTTTACACTCTAACAGTACTGTTGGTCTCTTCTTATCTTTGACTCAAACACCTATGGTAAATCTTGTTACCACCACTACAACTTAGCAACAGTGAAATACCAATTTTGTTTAAGATGACAGAGTACACAATGAAAAATGCCCCAAAGGAAATCACAATTAAAATCTAATAACAAGAGAGGTTGAAAATAGAATTCATTGGTCATCTAAAGAGAAGAAATACAAGAGAAGTATGAGAAATAAATTGTATATCATAATGTAATGGAGTCTGAGCATGAAGTTTTGCATTGAGAATATCAGTATAAGATGTACAAGCAACAGGATACAAGTCAACAGACTGACTAAAATGCTGAAAATAATATGAGTTTCATAAAATTGTTACAAAACTACTATAAACTCACACCTATGTATCACATCTATAATTGTAAAAACATTTCCAATGAGGATTTTTATTTTTATTTTATTTAGATTACTGGTGAGCATAGCTATAGACAAAGAAAACCGGGAAGACTAGGAAATCAAGAGCTAAAGTTTTCCCTAATTACCCCAGTACCTTCAGAGATTATATTGTATGAATGTTAAAAGTTAAAGAAAATAAATGAAGGAAAACAAGAAACCTGTAAAGAGATGAGAGACATAATAAAAACCTAAAACTTCAAGAGGTGGCAGGAAAGTAATACTATAACTTGATCAGGTAAATGATGATGAAATATTCTCACTGTATTCATCTCTATGTATGTAGCTCTATCGCTCCACAAGGTTTAATATAAACTCATATTCTAACCTGTCAAAAAGCAGGATAGGTTGGCTGAAGATATATAGATTTTGGGTTGATGGAAAGAGGGGTAGGGGATTCCTCAAGAAGAATTGGATAGAGGTTGTCAAAGGAGTTTTGAGTAATAAGATCTTTAGATTCCAGCAGGCATACATGAGCATTAAAAAATTAGACTAAGTACAGACCAGTGGTTTTGGGATGTGACATGTTAACAATGTGAGCAAAATGACATTTATGATGAGATCCAGGAAAACCACTCAGTCAAACTAGTTTTTGAAATGGGAAATATGTAGTGTCTGCACTCTGAGGAATTAGCAAGAATGCTGAGTGAATTCTCTGAACTGTAATATCAGCTAGAGAATGAGTAATGGCAATTTTTTTTCAATACAACAGCCGTCTCCCACCGAGGCAGGGTGACCCAAAACAGAAAGGAACACTATCACCATCACTCAACACCCACCAAAATGTGTTTACTTATTTGGGTCACCCCTTGTTGATAGGAAACATCTGATCTACTGTATTAAAAGAAAAATTGAAGGTATATATATATATATATATCTGAAGTGACTTTGGGTTTAAAAATAAATTCTTGTGCATTCTGAAAAGCCCATAATTATGACCAGCATTTCACATCTGTATTCAGAAAAATTTGGATTTCAAACTGTAGCTTGCTACATAACTTTAGTTAATAAAAGTTAACCATTTTTTTCTTCTTTCTTTGAATACACTGGTTGTCTCCCACTGAGGCAGAGTGGCCCAAAAAAGAAATGTAACATTTTGTTCTATTTGCGTTTAATAATTTAACACCCCTCCTTCAGAGGGGTGTTAATGTTGTAGTTTTATAAATGTAGTGTGAGCGCGCCTCTAACAAGACGGTGATGGGGTGAATGATGATGAAAGTTATTCTTTTTCGGGCCACCCTGACGTGGTGGGAAATGGCCAATGTGTTAAAAAAAAAAAAAAGGGAAAAGAAGTTACTAGCCCCTTGATCCTATCCATGTCCTTGTGCACTGAAAATTAAGACCTTAAAGAATCTTACCTCTCCATTCATCTGTCATATCACGATGCAGAAGACGGGTTTGAGAAGTGTCTTCTGTGAAGAAGAGACCCAGAGCAAACACATAGCCAAGAGGCAACCAAAAGTTCAACTGAGAGAAGTATTTGTTCTCCTTCATGAACAAACTCGTCCTAAGAAAAAAAACTACATATAAGAACAATCCTTGAAGTTATACCCTACATCTGATTATAGGAAAAAAAGGGATTAAAACACAAACAAAACAAAATAAAACCACCCAATTACATGTTTTCTTGACTATTTATAGATTTTTAGACCTACTTAAGCCTGACTTAATAGATTGGCTGCACGTGGCCTTCTATCACAAAGGCCATGGACTGCACCAGTGTAAAGGAAAACTTGCTAACACAATGCGATGGCTTAGATGTGGCAAAATTCCCCGACTCTACTCAGTAGGCCTATATTCAGAATAAAGTATTTAAGTTTTACTAAAGGGGTCAGGGACAGAGCCTCAGTTTCCTCGAGTTTACTGATTTTTTTTTTCTGAACAAAAATAAATTAATATTTTTAATAAATCATTTCACAGTCACTAAAGCAAGTGGTATTATGACTATGTACTTTTCAGAGGTGATATACAAATCTGTTTGTTACTTGTAGGCTTACATGTATGCAATTTTATATTAAAATGTAGCTTACATCTGTCTGGTCTATTAACTCACATGCATTTTTTAAGTGCACCGTCTGATTGCTTTCCATACATGGGGCCTACCAAAACAGTTCCTAAATGGGCCCCGCACCTCCTAAGGCCGGCTCTGCTCATATCAACTTATAAATGCCTATTAAAATAACTCATAATTAATTATAATTTACCTTAACATTTAATAACTGCCAAATAAAAGTTTTATAAATATTATATCAAGCAACATAGAGCATTAATTTAAATTACCGTTTCCAGAATCTTTCTAGGTAAAATGTTTTCCTAATATTTTAACCATTATTATATTATTCACCTTTAATCCTTAAAAAGAAGAAAAATCTTCCCATTCAATAAAACAGAAAACCTTCCCATTTAATAAAAAGGTGTTTTTTGCTTGAAACATAGTGACTAAAATTATACAAAAAGAAGTTGAATTGAGACACTAATGCAACATATAGGAATCTTTACTGAAGAGACATTTTACCACACAGTGGCTTCATCAGTCCAATGCAAAGCAGGAAGGTATAAGGAGAGGAGGAGTTTGAGGTAATCAGTCCCTCAGCCTGGAATTGATGTGTTCAGTCCATCTGATGAAGCCACTATGTGGTGAAATGTTTCTTCAATAAAGATTCCTATATGTTGCATAAATGTCTTAATTCTTCAACTTGTCAGTTTTCAAAACCATTCATCACATAAAAAGAAAGTTATCCAGTAACAATACTCAACAAAGTGAAAAACATTTTAGCAATAACAACATGAACAACAATAAACCCCAATGATATATAAAAGAGTTTACCATTTTTTTTAAATTATCATAAACCATACCTATAAGATTAACTGGTAATATTTAAATTCTGTGCAGTATTTTTATATCTGAAATTATATATATATATTTTTTTTTCAACAAGTCGGCCGTCTCCCACCGAGGCATATATATATTTTTTTTTTTTTTTTTCACAAGTCGGCCGTTTCCCACCGAGGCAGGGTGACCCAAAAAAAAGAAAGAAAATCCCCAAAAAGGAAAATACTTTCATCATTCAACACTTTCACCACACTCGCACATTATCACTGTTTTTGCAGAGGTGCTCAGAATACAACAGTCCAGAAGCATACACATATAAAGACACACAACATATCCCTCCAAACTGCCAATATCCCAAACCCCTCCTTTAAAATGCAGGCATTGTACTTCCCATTTCCATTGTACTTGCCAATATATATATAAAATATATATATATATAAATATATATATATATATATATATATATATATATAAAATATATATATTATATTATATATATATATATATATATATATTATATATATATATATTATAATATATTATTATATATATATATATTATATATATATATATTATTATAAATATTATATATATTATTTTATATATTTTTATATATATATATATTATAATAAAAAATATTATATATATATATATTATATATATATATATTTATAATATATAATATATATATATATATTATATAAAATAATATATATATATTATATATATTATATAGGTAGTAGGTTGGTAGACAGCAACCACCCAGGGAAGTACTACCGTCCTGCCAATGACTGTGAAACAAAAACCTTAACTGTTTTGCATGATGGTAGGATTCCCTGGTTTTTTTTTCTGTCTCATAAACACCTAAGATAACAGGGATATCTTGCTACTCCTACTTACACTTGGGTCACACTTCACAGACACGCACATGCAATATATATATTATACATACATCTAGGTTTTTTCTCCTTTATCTAAATAGCTCTTGTTCTTTTTTATTTCTTCTATTGTCCATGGGGAAGTGGAAAAAAAATCTTTCCTCCGTAAGCCATGGTGTCGTATGAGGCGACTAAATGCCGGGAGCAATGGCTAGTAACCCCTTCTCCTGTATACAATTACTAAAAAAGAGAAGAAGAAAAACTTTATAAAACTGGGTTGCTTAAATGTGCGTGGATGTAGTGTGGGTGACAAAAAACAGATGATTGCTGATGGTATGAAATGAAAAGAAGTTGGATGTCCTGGCCCTAAGCGAAACAAAGCTGAAGGGGGTAGGGGAGTTTCAGTGGGGGAAATAATGGGGTTAAATCTGGAGTATCTGAGGGGAGTTAGAGCAAAGGAAGGGGTAGCAGTAATGTTAAATGATCAGTTATGGAAGGAGAAAGAGAATATGAAAAGTGTAAATTCAAGAATTATGTGGATTAAAGTAAAGGTTGGATGCGAGAAGTGGGTCATAATAAGCGTGTATGCACCTGGAGAAGAGAGGAATGCAGAGGAGAGAGAGAGATTTTGGGAGATGTTAAGTGAATGTATAGGAGCCTTTGAACCAAGTGAGAGAGTAATTGTGGTAGAGGACTTGAATGCTAAAGTAGGAGAAACTTTTAGAGAGGGTGTGGTAGGTAAGTTTGGGGTGCCAGGTGTAAATGATAATGGGAGCCCTTTGATTGAACTTTGTATAGAAAGGGGTTTAGTTATAGGTAATACATATTTTAAGAAAAAGAGGATAAATAAGTATACACGATATGATGTAGGGCGAAATGACAGTAGTTTGTTGGATTATGTATTGGTAGATAAAAGACTGTTGAGTAGACTTCAGGATGTACATGTTTATAGAGGGGCCACAGATATATCAGATCACTTTCTAGTTGTAGCTACACTGAGAGTAAAAGGTAGATGGGATACAAGGAGAATAGAAGCATCAGGGAAGAGAGAGGTGAAGGTTTATAAACTAAAAGAGGAGGCAGTTAGGGTAAGATATAAAACAGCTATTGGAGGATAGATGGGCTAATGAGAGCATAGGCAATGGGGTCGAAGAGGTATGGGGTAGGTTTAAAAATGTAGTGTTAGAGTGTTCAGCAGAAGTTTGTGGTTACAGGAAAGTGGGTGCAGGAGGGAAGAGGAGCGATTGGTGGAATGATGATGTAAAGAGAGTAGTAAGGGAGAAAAAGTTAGCATATGAGAAGTTTTTACAAAGTAGAAGTGATGCAAGGAGGGAAGAGTATATGGAGAAAAAGAGAGAGGTTAAGAGAGTGGTGAAGCAATGTAAAAAGAGAGCAAATGAGAGAGTGGGTGAGATGTTATCAACAAATTTTGTTGAAAATAAGAAAAAGTTTTGGAGTGAGATTAACAGTTAAGAAAGCCTAGAGAACAAATTGATTTGTCAGTTAAAAATAGGAGAGGAGAGTTATTAAATGGAGAGTTAGAGGTATTGGGAAGATGGAAGGAATATTTTGAGGAATTGTTAAATGTTGATGAAGATAGGGAAGCTGTGATTTCGTGTATAGGGCAAGGAGGAATAACATCTTGTAGGAGTGAGGAAGAGCCAGTTGTGAGTGTGGGGAAGTTCGTGAGGCAGTAGGTAAAATGAAAGGGGGTAAGGCAGCCGGGATTTGATGGGATAAAGATAGAAATGTTAAAAGCAGGTGGGGATATAGTTTTGGAGTGGTTGGTGCAATTATTTAATAAATGTATGGAAGAGGGTAAGGTACCTAGGGATTGGCAGAGAGCATGCATAGTTCCTTTGTATAAAGGCAAAGGGGATAAAAGAGAGTGCAAAAATTATAGGGGGATAAGTCTGTTGAGTGTACCTGGTAAAGTGTATGGTAGAGTTATAATTGAAAGAATTAAAGAGTAAGACAGAGAATAGGATAGCAGATGAACAAGGAGCTTAGGAAAGGTAGGGGGTGTGTGGACCAGGTGTATTACAGTGAAACATATAAGTGAACAGTATTTTAGATAAGGCTAAAGAGGTCTTTGTGGCATTTATGGATTTGGAAAAGGCGTATGACAGGGTGGATAGGGGGGCAATGTGGCAGATGTTGCAAGTGTATGGTGTAGGAGGTAGGTTACTGAAAGCAGTGAAGAGTTTTTACGAGGATAGTGAGGCTCAAGTTAGAGTATGTAGGAAAGAGGAAATTTTTTTCCCAGTAAAAGTAGGCCTTAGACAAGGATGTGTGATGTCACCGTGGTTGTTTATATATTTATAGATGGGGTTTGTAAGAGAAGTAAATGCGAGGGTCTTGGCAAGAGGCGTGGAGTTAAAAGATAAAGAATCACACACAAAGTGGGAGTTTGTCACAGCTGCTCTTTGCTGATGACACTGTGCTCTTGGGAGATTCTGAAGAGAAGTTGCAGAGATTGGTGGATGAATTTGGTAGGGTGTGCAAAAGAAGAAAATTAAAGGTGAATACAGGAAAGAGTAAGGTTATGAGGATAACAAAAGATTAGGTGATGAAAGATTGAATATCAGATTGGAGGAGAGAGTATGGAGGAGGTGAACGTATTCAGATATTTGGGAGTGGACGTGTCAGCGGATGGTCTATGAAAGATGAGGTGAATCATAGAATTGATGAGGGAAAAAGAGTGAGTGGTGCACTTAGGAGTCTGTGGAGACAAAGAACCTTGTCCTTGGAGGCAAAGAGGGGAATGTATGAGAGTATAGTTTTACCAACGCTCTTAAATGGTGTGAAGCGTGGGTGATGAATGTTGCAGCGAGGAGAAGGCTGGAGGCAGTGGAGATGTCATGTCATGAGGGCAATGTGTGGTGTGAATATAATGCAGAGAATTCGTAGTTTGGAAGTTAGGAGGAGGTGCGGGATTACCAAAACTGTTGTCCAGAGGGCTGAGGAAGGGTTTGTTGAGGTGGTTCGGACATGTAGAGAGAATGGAGCGAAACAGAATGACTTCAAGAGTGTATCAGTCTGTAGTGGAAGGAAGGCGGGGTAGGGTCGGCCTAGGAAGGGTTGGAGGGAGGGGGTAAAGGAGGTTTTGTGTGGGGGGGCTTGGACTTCCAGCAGGCATGCGTGAGCGTGTTTGATAGGAGTGAATGGAGACAAATGGTTTTTTAATACTTGACGTGCTGTTGGAGTGTGAGCAAAGTAACATTTATGAAGGGATTCAGGGAAACCGGCAGGCCGGACTTGAGTCCTGGAGATGGGAAGTACAGTGCCTGCACTCTAGAAGGAGGGGTGTTAATGTTGCAGTTTAAAAAACTGTAGTGTAAAGCACCCTTCTGGCAAGACAGTGATGGAGTGAATGATGGTGAAAGTTTTTCTTTTTCGGGCCACCCTGCCTTGGTGGGAATCGGCCGGTGTGATAATAAAAAAAAAAAAATAATATATATATATATATATATATATATATATATATATATATATATATTTATTTCAACAAGTTGGTCATCCCCCCCTTTTTCCCAAACCCCTTTCGAGGACGACCCCTACCCCTCTTTCCTTCCCCTATAGATTTATATGCTTTCCATGTCATTCTACATTGATCCATTCTCTCTAAATGACCAAACCACCTCAACAACCCTCTTCTGCCCTCTGACTAATGCTTTTATTAACTCCACACCTTCTCGTAATTTCCACACTCCGAATTTTCTGCATAATATTTTTTTTTTTTTTTAAGTCGGTGGGAGACGACCAACTTGTTGAGAAAAAAAAAAAAAAATATATATATATATATATTATTAGTATTAGTATTAGTATTATTATTATTATTAGTATTAGTATTATTATTAGTATTAGTCAGAGGGCAGAAGAGGGGTTGTTGAGGTGGTTTGGTCATTTAGAGAGAATGGATCAAAGTAGAATGACTGGAAAGTATATTTAATCTATAGGGGAAGGAAGGCGGGGTAGGGGTCATCCTCGAAAGGGTTGGAGAGAGGGGGTAAAGGAGGTTTTGTGGGCAAGGGGCTTGGACTTCCAGCAAGCGGCGTGAGCGTGTTAGATAGGAGTGAATGGAGACGAATGGTACTTGGGGCCTGACGATCTGTTGGAGTGTGAGCAGGGGAATATTTAGTGAAGGGATTCCAGGGAAACCGGTTATTTTCATATAGTCGGACTTGAGTCCTGGAAATGGGAAGTACAATGCCTGCACTTTAAAGGAGGGGTTTGGGATATTGGCAGTTTGGAGGGATATGTTGTGTGTCTTTATATGTGTATGCTTCTGGACTGTTGTATTCTGAGCACCTCTGCAAAAACAGTGATAATGTGCGAGTGTGGTGAAAGTGTTGAATGATGATGAAAGTATTTTCTTTTTGGGGATTTTCTTTCTTTTTTTTGGGTCACCCTGCCTCGGTGGGAAACGGCCGACTTGTTGAAAAAAAAAAATATATATATATATATAAGAAATCTTTCAACCCATAAGTGCTGTACAGTATAGTAAAATATCTTTTAAAATTAATTAAATTCAATTCCTCATACTGTACCTGTCACATAAAAAAAAATATCCCATGATTAGACCAAGTTTTCCAAGAGCCATCAAGAAATCTTGAGAAGATGGATCATTTTTCTTCTTGCTTTCTTTGTCTCCCACCATAAGTGGTTGTGCTGTGTCTGCATCAGCAGAGGATAAGGTTGAGTTCTTACCATTAATATGGGTAGAAACACACAACCACTGTTTAACAGCTACTGCTATCAAGATAATTGGACTGTAAAACAAAGGGTAAAATTGGTTTAATACAAACACATATTCTTGGAATGTAGTGTTCACTACCCACATCACTTACATCTTTTCACTGTCCACTTATACATTACTCTTAAATTTCTTTTCATATTTTTGATTGACATTTATACTAGCAAAATAATACTGTGCAATTTCCAATGTAGATACTGAATATTTCCAAATTACTGTACATAATGATGAGTTCAACACAGGAATGTGAACATGTTCATGGGTCCAAACTGATCAGCACTCTAGTACTTAAGACATATAAAAGTAAAAGAGTGAGAAAGATTCCAATAATGCACAAATACAATACAGATTCTAAATGAATTTCTGACATACAGTTTATAGTAAATTCCTTGATTTATGTTATTTATGTTAGATAATGTTTTCTTAAGATAGATTATAATTTATTGATCAAATTAACCTATTATAGCATTCCATAATATCAATAAATAATACATTACACAGAGGAAATAAAAAATATTAAAGTGTGAACAGAAATGGGAACCTACTGAATGCACTCTTAAAATATAGTCATGTAATCAATGTTAAAAAACTATAAAATGTACCCATACAATTGTTTTAGCAACAGTGAAATTCTTATTTTACTTAGAGGAAGGCCCAGCATAATGACCCCTCCTCAAAGATGATACTATTAAAACTAATAACAGATTGCAAGGTCTTTGAAACTGGGGTTCACATATCAACTGAGACAAAAAATAGGGGGGAAGTATGGGAAATAAAACTGCATACCCCCCGTTAGGAAGTCTGAGCTGAAGTTAGCTCAGAATATAAATAAAATTTTGCACTTTCAGTGTAGGACAGCAGTACAAGTCAACGACTGCCCCAAATGCTGAGAAAAAGATGGGCTTCAAAAAAAATTTTACTATCTCTGGGTTCCCTGAAAATGGGATCATGGAAGAAGAGACTTGCCCTTTAATTAATAATTTTTTTTCAGAAAGTAATCACCAAAAGCAGAGTGCAGCGAAGGGTACAATCTGGTACTGTTCAGCTTTTGGATTGCAGCAGGTACCATCATTGAAATTTAGATGGCATTACATTAAATTTTTAGTATCTTAAAGAAAAGTATAAATTTTCAAAAAATCCAACTATAAAAAAAAATTTTTTAATCAATCCCGATACTGTATATTCAACATGGTTTTCAGCATATAAAAAAGGGAAACATGTGTGAGCGTGTTAATGGATGAATGGGGGATGAATGGTTTTTTTGGGGCCTGACAAGGCAGGGTGTGGAGGGTATTTTTTTGTAAAAGGGGTTTTAGGGAAAAAGGGAGCCGATTTATCCTGGAAAAAGCGTACAATGCCCGCACTTTAAACGAGGGGGGTTTTTGGGTATTTGGGAGTTTGGAGGGGCTTTTAAACAGGTATCCGATGCCTCTGCAAAGTCAGTGATTACGTATGAGTGTGGTGAAAATGTTGAATGTGATGAAAAATTTTTTTTTCTTTTTGGGTCACCCCGCCTTGGGGGAAATAGCCGATTGTTAAAAAAAAAAAAAAAGTCCTTTTTTTACATCTTTAAGAATAATATTTAAAAATAGAAAAAAAAAACTCATGCTAGACCTGCAAAATTAAGTAAAAATACAGTAAGTAAGGCAATTAAAATAAATTTTCAAGAAGGAAAGGGAAAATGTACTAATTTGCCGTACCATACTGCTTTACTTGTGACCAAAAAGTAATCAGGAGGGAAAAAATGTATGGATCTGTTTGATGACCATGAAAAAGATTCGTAGCTTCTCATAATTTAAACTTTATTTGTAACGACATTTAGTTGTGTAGTGACTTACATTAAGAAACTCTTTAAAGTATCAGAGGAAAAACAATAAATTAAAACTTACTTGTGTATCATATTTTTTTTGCTCTTCTCCAGCATGTATTCCCTTGAAAAGCCCCCCATTTCCCTGAGCTACCGACGTGAGCTGGCCATATGTGAAACCCTTTGTGTTGTAGGGACTGTAGATTTTTCATTGACTGTCACTTCTCCACTGTGTAATACTTATCAAGGCAAACTCTTAGTTCTAACTAAATTTATAATTTTATTTTAACTTCCCAGAGAAAAGGAACATACCGCAGTTAGACAAAGAATACTAGGAACTACATATAAAGTTTATAGTTTGTATAATTTATTTATTTTAGCCCTCATTATAGTGTTGCAAAGGTGAAGGAAAAAAAAAGAGGCGTATATTAAATGAACTGGCCTGGAGACTTTTCTGTCATGAGTCGCACCTTAAGTTTTGAGTTATGCGGGAGTACTTCGAGTCCAAGATGCAGAAAGATGGGATACCAAAATTTCCACCTGAAGGCTTACAGCCGTTCCTCAGTTAACAACGGAGTTCGATTCTAAGACCAGCATCGGAAACAAATCGTCAAAGTATAGGCTATGATAAGGGTGGGTTTGTGTCAACCTTTGATATTATTTAGGATGTCAACCTTTGCTTGTAAGTTACTTCGTAATTTTTAAATGTTTGATACAGAATGTGTACTGTATATTGTAATAAGCAAATAGGAATCTGTTGATTACATTATTCAGATGCTATGGAGGAGCCGTTGTAAGTCCAAGTCACGGTAACAGTACGTCGCTAGGGAGGAAGAGCTGATTTAGGGTTTAGATAGTTTCATTTGGAATCTGTCCATAGACATTGATCGGAATTTTTTTTTTTTGTGTAACAAGTGGGACAGTTCCCTTTCCGTATGCAGGGTACCCAAAAAGGAAGAAAATCCGCAAAAAGAAAAAATACTTTCATCATCATTCAACTCATTTAACCTCACTTCAACATTAATCACTAGTTTTTTAAAGAGTTGCTCAGAAACCACAACAGTTTAGAAGCATTACGTAAAACGATACCGACCATTCCCTCCCAAACTGCTAATATCGATCTCCGTCCTTTAATGCAGGCATTCGTACTTCCAATTTCCACGAATTCAATCCCTATGTATAAATAACGTTTTTCCTGAATCCCTTCACTATTGTAACATGCTCACACTCCACAGATATCAGGTCCCAAATACTATTCTATTCCTATCGACTCGCTATGCACCACTGTGAAAGTCCAAGAACCCTCACTACAAAAACCTCCCATTACCTTCCTTCCAACCTTTTGAGACTGACCTTGCCACCGTCTTCTTCCGCGCAGATTATAGCGTTCTCCATGTCATTGTACTTTGATCCATCTCCAAGTAGAATGATGAAGCAAACCACTCTCGGAACAGACCCGCTGTCAGCGCCTCTGAAATATTGTTAAAGGTAATCTTTCCTAAGTTTCCAAGGCTTCGAATTTCGCAAAGATTGTACATACATTGACCCTTAGAGGACACTGCACTGCCTCCAGACGCCTCTCGTGTACATTGCACACCAAGTTCAACCAAAGAAGAGTGTTGGTTATATATCGACTTATCTGAAATACATTACCTTCTTTGCCTCCTTTAAGCAGCGATTTTGGTTCCAGTTTACCTCAAACACCACTCCTTTTTTCCCTCTTCAATTCTATGATTAACCTCACCTTCATAAATCCATCCACCGACAATGTCAATCCCAGTATTGAAAACATTCATTTCAATACTCCTCCCCAATTTTGGGATCAATTTTTCTTTATTTAATCATTGTGGAATTTAACCGGCATTCATGAAAAAAAATGGATTGATATGTTGGCCCAGAATATTTTTACCAAACTTTAAATATTAACCAGTAAAATTTTTTTAAGTCTTAATATAATTAAATTTCACTCTTTATCTGAAAATAACAAAATAACATGGAGACAATTTTCCAGACATAAGAAATTCACTATGACATGAATCATGGGTGTAAGTTTCTATTCTCACCAAAGAGATTATAATAGCTGCAATAGAAGATTCATATTTATTTCTTGCCATTCAAATAAAATTAAATTTCAGTGTGTAACACACATTATGTAGGGAGCAAAAAAGTAAAATTGTTTTAACACACTGCCTGTTCTTCCATCAGTTAGAAACCCCCCAAACAAAAAGGGAAATACATTCACTATTATTCTTCAAATTGCTGATGCTGCCAGAATGTTGTGACATTTATTTCAGAATGTACCTCTGAATGCAACTTCACTATATTTCAAATTATAATACATATACTTCCCACTTTCAGAGCTTAAATTCAATGCTGGATTCTGTGAATCCCTAATAATGTTACTATAGAATATCACTCACAATCACCTAAAATTATTAAGGGAAATATAAGGGAAGTTTAATAGGAATGTACTTAACTAAAGGGTCCATATTAGGTATTGGTAGAAATTTTGGTTAGATAGATAAATTAGTGACAAATTGAAGGAAGGGAATAGTAAATTGCAACTGCTTGGATCAAGGAAAACTTTCATACATCAAGACACAAATGGAATCTGTGCTCACTCTTAAAAATAACATATTCATGTTAAACTGCCTCCCATCACCCTACACATTATTATAGGAAAGTAATTAGGGAAGTACTTAAACCCATACGGCTCCAACAGAGCCTGGCAAATGGAGGGGTAGGTATTAAATAGGTGACAATTTGAAGGAAGTCAATGAATGGGTAATATGCAACGCTGGATCAGGGGCCATCTCAGCATATCAAACCCCATGCCAGTGGCAATCGTTATGAAAATCAAATACAGAATAATATAATTCATTTAAAACCACTGTCAAAAAATAGTGAATTCAGACGCCAATTCGTGATTTCTAAATGTTCAAGGACTTTTAACTGTGAAATCAGACACTTGAAATTTTAATATTTTTTCACAGGTTTTTTGCATATTGTAATATCACTGTTTACTGTGACCTATGCTCACCAAGAAGATGAGAATAAACTGAATGTATCAGTTTTTCCTCCATAGCAGCTATTGATAAGGTCAAGCTGACATGGTTATGGCCATCTCTCCGTATTTCAAGCTGTAAGTACAACTGGGTCTTCAGCAACATCCAAGCAACTGATTTTTGCCTATTTGGTTAGGACTATAAAATATAATGAAATTACAAGTAGCAACGCTATAAATAATGTTTGCGTTTATGGGTATGAGAATGAAATGTGTTTTTGGGACCTGACAAGCTGCAGGAGTGTGAGCAGGGTAATATTTTGTAAAGGGATTCAGGGAAACTGGTTAGCCAGACTTGAGTCCTGGAAATAGCTAGTACAATGCCTGCACTTTAAACGAGGGGTTTGGGATATTGGCAGTTTGGAGGGGCTTCTAAACAGTCGTATCCGAGTGCCTCTGCAAAGTCAGTGATTACGTATGAGTGATGGTGAAAGTGTTGAATGATGATGAAAGTATTTTTCTTTCTTTTTGGGTCACCCTGCCTTGGTGGGAAATAGCCGATGTGTTAAAAAAAAAAAAAAGTCTCTTGTCACATCTTTAAGAATAAATATTTAAACACTAGAAGAAAAAACACTCATGCTAGACCTGCAATTCAACGTAAACTACAGTAATGTATAGGCAATAAAAATATTTTATCAAGAAGGAAAGGTAAAGTGATACTAATTTGCCTGTACCATACTGCTTTACTTGTGACCAGAACCAAGTAATCAGTGAGGAAGAAATGTATGGATCTTGATCTGATGACTCATGAACAGATTCGTAGCTTCTCATACTGTTAAACTTCAGTTAGTAACGAGCATTTAGTTGTGTAGTGACTATACATTAAGAAACTCTTTAAATGTATCATGAGGAAAAACAATCAAATTAACTTACTTGTGTATCATATTTTATTGCTACTTCTCCAGCATGTATTCCATCTGAAAAGCCTCCTATGCTTCCCTGAGCTACCAGACGTGAGCTGGACCATATGTGAACCTTCGTGTTGTAGAGGACCTGTAGATTTTTTCATTACTGTCACTTCTCCACATGTGTAATTACTTATCAAGGCAAACTCTTAGTTCTAACTAATTTATTAATTTTATTTTTAACTTCCCAGAATAAGGAACATACCGCAGTTAACAAAGAATACTTGGAGATAAACAATATAAATGTTTATATTTTGAATAATTTATTTATTTTAGCCCTCATTATAGTGTTGCAAAGGAGAAGGAAAAAAAAAGAGGCATTATATTTAAATATAACTGCCTGGAGACTTTTCTGTCATGTCGCACCTTAAAGTTTTGAGTTTCGGGAGTACTTCGAGTCCAAGATGCAGAAAGATGACTATCACAATTTCCACCTGAAACCATTACAGCCTCTCCTCACTTAACAACGGAGTTCCATTCCTAAGACCACATCGGTAAACAAATTCGTCACTAAGTGAGGCACATACTATAATGGTAGTGGGTTTGTGTCAACCATCTTTGATATTATTTTAATGTCACCTTTGCACCATTTATAACATTTCTGGTATATTTTTAAATGTTTGTACAGCAGTGTACTGTATATTGTAATAAGCAGAATAGAGGAAATCAGCTCTAATATACATTATTCAGGTATGCATACTGGTCAGAGAGCCCGTTGTAAGTCCAAGTCATCGGTAAACAAGTACGTCGCTAGGTGAGGAGAGGCTGTATTTCATTTGGATTAGTTTTCATTTGGAATCTGATCCATAGACATTGATGGAATTTTTTTTTTTTTTAACAAGTCGGCCGTCTCCCGCCGAGGCAGGGTGACCCAAAAAGAAAGAAAATCCCCAAAAAGAAAATACTTTCATCATCATTCAACTCTTTCACCTCACTCACACATAATCACTGTTTTTAAAGAGGTGCTCAGAAACACAACAGTTTAGAAGCATATACGTAAAACGATACACGACACATCCCTCCAAACTGCTAATATCCCGAACCCCTCCTTTAGAGTGCAGGCATTGTACTTCCCATTTCCAGAATTCAAGTCCGGCTATGTAAAAATAACCGGTTTCCCTGAATCCCTTCACTAAATATTACCATGCTCACACTCCAACAGATCATCAGGTCCCAAATACCATTCACTCCTATCGAACACGCTCATGCACGCCTGCTGTAAGTCCAAGCCCCTCACCCACAAAACCTCCCTTACCCCTTCCTTCCAACCTTTTCGAGGATGACCCCTGCCCCGTCTTCCTTCCCCTACAGATTTATACGTTCTCCATGTCATTCTACTTTGATCCATTCTCTCTAAATGACCAAACCACCTCAACAACCCCTCTTCAGCCCTCTGACTAATACTTTTATTAACTCCACATCTTCTCCTAATTTCCACACTCCGAATTTTCTGCATAATATTTACACTACACATTGCCCTTAGACAGGACATCTCCACTGCCTCCAACTGCCTCCTCGCTGCTACATTCACAACCCAAGCTTCACACCCAAATAAGAGTGTTGGTACTACTATACTTTCATACATTCCCTTCTTTGCCTCCATAGACAGCGATTTTTGTCTCCACATATACCTCAACACACCACTCACCTTTTTTCCCTCATCAATTCTATGATTAACCTCATCCTTCATAAATCCATCCACCGACACGTCAACTCCCAAGTATCTGAAACATTCACTTCTTCCATACTCCTCCCCAATTTGATATCCAATTTTTCTTTATCTAAATCATTGATGGAATTATAACCAGGAATTCATGAGCTCAATGGAATGATACTGTTGGCCCAGATCATTTTTACCAAACTTTAAACTATTAACCCAGGTAAAATTTTTTTATATGTCCTGTCAATATATATTAAATTTCACTCTCTTATCTTGAATATAACAAAATAAAATTGGAGGAATTTTGAGAATGCAAATCACTATCCCACTGAACATGGGGTAAGTATGCTACTACTGCACCAAAGACATTATAAAACTGCAATTAAGAATTCATACATTTATATTGTTGCATTCAACATAAAATTAAATTTCAGTTGTGTAACACACAGTATATGTAGGAGCATACAAAATCAAACAATTCTTCTTAACACACTGCCTGTCTCCCATCCAGGTAGGGCAACCCCCCCAAAAAAAAGAGGAAATACATTCACCATTATTCATTCAACTGCTGAGCTGCCAGAAGTGTGCTGACATCACATTTCAGATGACCCTCTGAACTGCAACATCTTCACCTTTCCTTTAGAATATAATCACTGTACTTCCCACTTTCAGAGCTTAAATTCAGCTAGCTGGATTCTGTGAATCCCTTAATATATGTTACTATGGTATCTGCCTCCCATCACCTACACATTATTAGAGGGAAGTACTATAGGGAAGTATTATAGGGAAGTACTAATCCCACAGGGTCCACAGAGGACCTGGGAAATTGGAGGGGTAGAGAGTAATTAGGTGCAAATGAAGGAAGGGAATAGTAATTGCAACTGCTTGGATCAGGAGCCTCTTCAGTAGCATCAAGACCCTATGATATCTGTGCTCTATCTCAAGAAATAACAGATATTTCATACTGTAACTGCCTCCCATCACCTACACATTATTAGAGGAAAGTACTATAGGGAAGTACTAAACCCATACGGCTCACAGACGACCTGGGAAATTGGAGGGGTAGGGAGTAATTAGGTGCAATTGAAGGAAGGGAATAGTAATTGCAACTGCTTGGATCAGGGGCCTCTTCAGCATCATCAAGACCCCTTGCAGTGGCCAACTCGTTATGAAAATCAAATACAGTACAGATATATGTATGCAAAACAACCACTGTCAAAAAATAGTGAAATTCCAAGCACTTTCGTGATTTCTCACATTATCAAGGACTTTGATAACGTGAGAAATCACGAAAGCACTTGGAATTTTAATATTTTTTCACAGTGGTTGTTTTGCATATTGTGATATCACCTGTTTACTGTGACCTTACTGCATATATATGTATAAATAAACTGAAATGTATGCAGTTTTTACCTCCATAGCAGCCATATTATAAAGGTCAAGCTGATCATTGGTTATGGCCAGTCTCTCCGGTTTCAGTCTTTCAGGTACAACTGGGTCTTGCAACATCCAAAGCAACTGGGTTTTGTTGCCTATTTGGTGTAGGACCTATAGAAAATATAAATGAAATTACAAGAGCAACACTTTTTTTTTTTTGTCTGGGTTAGTACTGCATTTACATTCAAATGTGTATACAGTGGACCCCCGAGTTTCATGATTAATCCATTCCAGAGAGCCTGCCGAAAGTCGAAATTCACGAAACTCGAAACCATTTTCCCCATAAGAAATAATGGAAATAAAATTAATCCATTCCAGACACCCAAAAATATTAAAAGAAAATATTTTTTTCAAATTAAATAAAGATTTACATACTGAAAACAATCAGAAATCAAGTACATGCATACTATAAAAAATAATAATAACATTACACTTACCTTTACTGAAGACTTCTGGGTGGATGGAAGACGGGAGGAGGGGATAGGAGGAAGGTGTACACTATTGTTTGGACGGAGAATCTCCTTCCATTAGGATTTCAGGTAGCAAGTCCTTTACTGGGGTTACTTCCCGTCTTCTTTTAATGCCACTGGGAACAACTTGAGAGTCACTGGACCCCTGCTGCACAAAATATCTGTCCAGAGAGGTCTGTTTCTGGCATTTCTTTATGATTTGCCTGAAGTGGGACAAGGTTTTGTCACTGAACATGTTGCAGATATGGCTTGTTTCAGCTTGGTCAGGGTGATACTTTTCAACAAAACTTTGCAACTCATTCCACTTTGAACACATGTCCTTAATCACCAAAGAAGGCACCTCCTTCACTCTCTTTTCCTCCTCTGAAGCAAGTTCCTCAGCTGTGGTCTGATGCTGTTCCAGTTGAAGCTCTTGCAGTTCGTTAGTGGTTAGCTCTTCCCTGTGGTCCTCCACCAACTCTTCCGCATCCCCGTGGCTCACCTCCAACCCCATGGACTTGCCCAATGCCACAACACCTTCCACAACAGGCAGGGTCAGGGTCTGCCTCAAACCCTTCAAAATCCCTCTGGATCGTGTTCTTCGCTTTTTTTACCAAAGGGCTTGCACTAGCTTTCGTTATATGCATGGTGGATATGCATGGTGTGGCCGTACTGGACTGAGGTGGATGTCTGTTGGTTGTCGGCAGATGTGGATGGTAGAGGTTCTGGTACTAAAGTCGATGGTTATATTAGAGTGTGCATAATTTCTGTAATGGAGCTCTGGGCTCTTTTACCCTGCAGTACATTATACAGCTGACGGTAAGGCATCATCAGCTAGTCTAGATCCCGTTTCAAAGCACTGCTTCTAGATTTGACAGGGACCTCTTCAGTGAAAAAGTCTGCTAGTTTAGCAGCAACATGGAACTGCTCACGTAACTGCTGCATTGTTAGCTGTTTTTTTCAAGTTCTTCTTCATCTTCTTCTGTTATCTCCCTTCCTTGTATCTGTGCACTGAGCTCTGCCAACATTTCCTCTGGACTCCTGTCTTCATCATCATCTTCTAAGAGCTCATTCACATCTTCATTCATACCTTCTAAACCATCACCTGGTAATCTCCTTGCCAGCTGAACAATTTCCTCAACCTGACTCTCAAGCAAGGAAAAACCAGTGACTGGTTTGACCTCCAAATTACTGGTAAGGTGTTTTTATCTACACCTTTCAAAGCACGAGGATTCCTAGAGCGGTAAATAACCATGGGCTTACACTTGAAATCACCTGACACATTACCACAAAGGAGCAAGGTGAAGCGCTCCTTTGCTGCCTTGAAGCCCGGTGCACTTTTTCTCTTGCTGACTGATATAAGCTCTTGTTGGCATTTTCTTCCAAAAAACACTTGTCTCATCAGCATTAAACACTTGATGTTTCTCATAGCCACCCTCAGAAATAATTTCCTGTAATTCAGCAGGGAAATTACTTGCTGCTGTAATATCAGCTGAAGCACTTTCACCAGAAAACTTAATATTATGTAACTTATTACGCAACTTAAAGCTGTGGAACCAGCCTGTGATAAACATACACTCTTTTTCAGGCCTTCCTTATCACACACTGCTTTAAACAATTGTAAGGCCTGTTCCCTAATTAAGATGAAATTAAGTGGTGCACCTTTCTTTGTCTTTTGTTCGATCTACTCAAGCAACAAGTTTTCTGTTTTATTTACTAGTGATCTACGTGCCATTCTTTTCATGAGGTGACATCCTGGGTTATTCATTACGCAAGCTCGTATATTCACCTCATTCTTTTTAATTGTATGAAATGACGCTTCATTAAGGCCATAGGCCCGCACTATATCCACCACAAGTGAGCCACTCTTAAGCTTGTCTAATATCTCAATTTTCTTCGTAACTCCTAGACTTAAACATTTAAACCTTTTCTTTCAGCAACACTTGTATGCCTGCTGGGTGCCATGATTGCTTGGCGGATAAAAGATATGGCAATTAAAAGATCTAAACTCAGTCCACAAACATAATAAACACAGCTAGCTCTGAGCTGTGTTGGGAAAGCATCCCGTGGGCAATGCTCCAATTTTTTTTCCCCTCCCACAAATCGAACCGTGTTAAGTTAATTTTACGAAGTCTTGTATAAAATTGTGCCGCAATTTTTCAATAGTGCAATAACCAAAATGTGCCAAATAAAACCGTGTAATATAACGGTCTACTGTATTATTATAATTATTATGATTATTATTATGGTAATAATTAATAATATATTCATAGGGAAGCACTAAACTTATAGAGGACATACAGAGCCTTGTATACGTGCACGCCCCACTTTACAGTGCTTTGCTTCACGGTGTTTCACTAATGCAGAAGTTTCCAATTATACCCATTCTTCATTTATTCTGACTTCCTACAGTAAATATATTCACCACTCACTATAAGCTAAGGACAAAAATATTTTAAGTTAAGTAGTGTGTGTATGTGCATTTTTTAGGCCTAGCTCTATTGCTACTTAATATATGATAAGTGTAAATATGCTGTTAGACTTTTACATGCATTTGAAAGTGAAAAAACCTCTATGTTTCACTTTACAGAGATTTTCTGCCTTACAGCAATAGCTTGAAACCTAAACTGCTGTATAAGCAGGGCCCTCCTGTATACTGTATCTATTAGGTTATATTTTAGCCAGGTCACTATTATCAGTGCAACACTCAAGTGTTTAGTGATTTTAGCAGGGCATTGATGTCATCATTGTTAGCAAAATATTCTTATGGTTTTAAAAGTGATTTTTGAATGTCTCAATGTCATTTGATCTTGTATTTTCAGAAGTACAGTACTGTAGTTTATTTGTTATCAGTGTTTGGTTTTTTAAAATTTAGATTTAATTCTTTTAATTTAAATCACATGCAAAAGTATATCATTATTATTATTACATAAAAGTAATAAATGAATACAGATTATACAGCACAGTATGCAAATGTATAATTTTGGAGAATGTGGGGTTATAATGTGGTTACTAGTTGAGTTCTCAAAAATGTATTGATAGTCCTGGGCAGAGCGTGATCTCCTTTGTTAACTTTCTCATCACTGAAAATGCAGCTCACATTAATGGTGGTGCTTGCACACACAGTTATAAGTATCACAGAAGAGCACTGTTCTACTACACATGCTCACTAGCAAAAGACTAGGCACCTCAGTTTAGACTACTGGTAAATAATTTGTAAGATAACTTATGATCTTGAGGGTAACAAGAAAAAAAAAATGCCATATACGTATACCCAAACTTACAGATGAAAGAAGAGTCAAGTTTTTCTTATACTCTTCTAAAGCCAATGCAGAACCATTAGAATTCTTAATGGCATGAGTGGCACTTCCCATCACTATCAGCTTGGGCAGTGACTTTCTTCTCTGGAAAGAAAGATACAAGAAGGTAACAGCAAATAGTTATCCCAAAATAACACAAAGAACAAACAAACATTACCAGCAGAAATAACCCTTTGTTTGAAGTGTAATGTTATAATTACCACTAACTCTTCTACTCCACAGGATGCTAAATTATATAGAAAACCTGTCACAAAACAGTAAAAAGAGGAAATGAAATACACATTAAAACTTTATATTAACATCTGTGGTAATTACACATGCCTATGCCTACAGGATGTAATTATACGGCTTATGGTAATTCATTGTCACTCATTCATTTACAGCCTAGTTAAAAGTATGCTGACATCACAGTTCAGATGACCCTCCAAACTACAATACTGTCATCCCTCCTTTTAGAATGCAGGAAATGTATGTACTTCCCAATTCCAGGACTCAAGCCTGGCTAGCTGGGAAACTTGATTATTAATGAAGACAATCATATAATGTTTACCTTTAAATGATTAAGAAGCTTGGCCACATGCTGATCCATCAGTGGCCTCCAAATAAATTCAATATTAAGCCTCAGGTTAGTGTCGTTGTAGCGCATATCTTCATGCGGCGTCTCGGAAAACTTGGGATGTGTAACTGCAATCTAACCAGATAGTTATATAATTATTTTTTTTTTATTAACACACTGGCCGATTCCCACCAAGGCAGGGTGGCCTGAAAAAAGAAAAACTTTCACCATCATTCACTCCATCACTGTCTTGCCAGAAGGGTGCTTTACACTACAGTTTTTAAACTGCAACATTACACCCTCCTCAAGGCTTACAGATCATCCACATGACTCAAGTCCCTCTGGACTCAACCCCTTCTAGTCTTTCTCACCCTTCCACTACATGTCAACTTGCTCAAACTCTTCCAGCAGTCAAGTCTTTAGTAAACACACATCAACATGCTTGGTCTTTAGTCCAAGTCCCTCGCCACAAACCTCCTTAGCCCTCCTCAACCTTCCTAGCCGACCCCAACCAGCTCTTCCAACAGACTGAAACTCTTGAAGTCACTTGTTCGCTCCATCTCCCATTAAACTCTAAGCACTTCCCGCCTCGGAAAACAGTTTTGAATCCCGACCTACACCTAATGTCATAAGTGACATATATTTGTTTTTTAAATACTGCGTCCTCAAGGTAGAGTGAAGATAAGTATGACAGTCCTCTCATTCACTCAGTCTTCCAAGCACGAGATACTACGTCAGATGCCCCTTCCAAACTAGCAAATATTCGCACCCGTCCTTCAAGTAGACAGTACTTCAACCATCCAGGACTCAAGTCTAGTAACCAGTTTCCTTGAATGCCCCACAATATGCGTTGGTATCTCTAATTCGAAATTGTCTCCCAAAAACATTAGCATCCACGCACTCATTAATGTCGACACAGTTGAACATAAGGCATACCAACAAGTCATTTACCCTCCCTCTAACATTTCGTAGGTCAATTCCATTTCCACCTTTCCTCAAGTATTAAAACTTTGTACCCCTTTCACATCCTATTTTAGACCACCTCACGTCTAAATCTCGAACATCACAACTCTCTTCGCATCTCGGATAATACTTATCCATACTCCTATCTCCAACCCCTCAACCTTTCCATGTATTCACACCCCTACCCCGCCTTCCTTCCACTACAGACTGATACACTCTTGAAGTCATTCTGTTTCGCTCCATTCTCTCTACATGTCCGAACCACCTCAACAACCCTTCCTCAGCCCTCTGGACAACAGTTTTGGTAATCCCGCACCTCCTCCTAACTTCCATAATATACATTCATAATTTTTTTTTTTTAACATACTGCCCGTCTCCCATCAAGGTAGAGCGACACAAGAAAGAAACACTTTCACCATCATTCACTCTATCTTGACAGAGGCACGCAGATACTACAGCTCAGATGCCCCCCCTCCTAAACTGCAAATATCCCCACCCCTCCTTCAGAGTGTAGGCACTGTACTTCCCACCTCCAGGACTCAAGTCTAGTTAACCAGTTTCCTTGAATCCCTCCACAAATGTTATCTTCTTCACACTCCAACAGTTTGTCAGGTCCCAAAAACAATTTACCTCCACTCACTCCTATCTAACATGCTCACATGCCTGCAAGATGGCCAAGGCCCTCCCATACAAAGCATCCTTTACCCCCTCCCTCTAACTATTCCTAGGGCAATTCCTCCCCCACCTTCCCTCCACTACAGATTTATACACCCTTTACATCATCCTATTTTGCTCCATCCTCTCTAAATGTTAAAACCACCTCAACAACCTCTCTTCAGCATCTCTGGATAATACTTTTGGTACTTCCATAGCTCCTAATCTCCAAGCCACAAATTCTCTGCATGATATTTACACCACACATTGCCCTCAGACATGACATCTCCACTGCCTCCAATCTTCTCCTTGTTGCAACCTTTACAACCCATGCTTCGCACCCATATAAGAGTGCTGGTACCACCACACTTTCATACATTTTCCTCTTTGCCTCCATGGATGACATTCTTTGTCTCCACAGATATCTCAATGCACCACCCACCTTTCCTTCCCTGTCATTCTATGGTTCACCTCATTTTTCACAGAACCATCCGCCAACAAGTCCACTCTCAAATATCTCAACACTTTCACTTCCTCTATACTTCCTCCTTCCAAAAATTAGTCTATTCTTATAAGCTTTGCTTTAACCCTTTGACTGTTTTGGTCGTATATATACGTCTCACGAGCCAGTGTTTCAGACGTATATATACTCAATAATTCTAGCGGCTTCAAATCAAGCGGAAGAAAGCTAGTATGCCCACATGTGAAAGAATGGGTCTGTGTGGTCAGTGTGCACCACATAAAAAAAATCCTGCAGCACAGTGCATAATGAGAAAAAAAAACTCTGATCGTTTTTTTGGATTAAAACGCCGACTTTGAGGTGTATTTTCATATAGTATTTATCGATGTATTTGTGTTTTCATGGTCTTAGGTGATAAAATGGAAAACATTACAGAAATAGAGATGATTTTTATTACTTTGACGATGAAAACGACCTTGAAACTGAGCTCAAAGTAGCAGAAATGTTCGATTTTTACCAATGTTCAGGAGTAAACAAATCACCCCACACGTCCAATACACGTCAACTGGGGAGTCTAATATTCTTTCACTAGTGCACTGATATTATTTATACCATTTTTACAATAATGCAGTAGTCTGCATAACAGTAAATTTTGTATTTTTTTGTATGAATAAAAAATCAAAATAGAAAGCAATAATAATATAAGAGGGGCCTAGAGATGTGACTAATGAACAGAGGATATGTTATTTTAGTGCCAAGAATGTCTACCTTGTTTTTCCTGGACCCTATTTTGAAATTGGCATCTTTTTTAGTGTGAAATTTGCCAAATTGCCAATTTCTGACCACAATATTGGGTAGTCCAAATTGGTAAATGGGAGGTTTCTTGTACTCAGCAGATAGATAAAATGGAGTTCTAAAGAAATAGCTATGAGTTTGGTCAACTGGAACAAAGGAATTGGCTGAAAATAGGGCTCAAAGTCAGCAAAATCGCCGATATGCATATGTTGCCGAGACCGCTAACTTCGTGGGAGCGTAATTCCATGAGTTTTCGACCAAATCTCGAACTTTTGGTGTCATTACCATCGGGAAAAGATTCTCTATCATTTCATAAGAAAAAATAATTTTTTTTTTTCAAAAATTTAGCGACATAGAATGACAGTTTCAGAAAGGGGCCTGAAACAGTCAAAGGGTAAAACAAAAAAAAAGGTCTTATTAACCCTTTGACAGTCGCAACCCCCAATCCTGAGGTGTCTCCTGGTGTCGCAAAATTTAAAAAAAAAAAAAAAATTATTTTTTCTTATGAAATGATAGAGAATCTTTTCCCGATTGTAAAGACACCAAAAAAACAAAATTTGATGGAAAACTGATGGAATTACGCTCTCGCGAATTAGCGACCTCGGCAATATTTACAAATCGGAGATTTCGCCCACTTTGAGCCCTATTTTCGGCTAATTCCATTATTCCAGTCAACCAAACTCATAGCTATTTCTTCAGAACTCCATTTTTTCCATCGATTGAGTACAAGAAACTGCCCATTTACCGATTTCAACTACCCAACAACATGGTCAGAAATTTGCAATTTGGCCAATTTCATGAAAATTAAAAAATATGACAATTTCAAAATAAGGACCAGAATGAACAATGCAGACATTCCTGGCTCTAAAATAACATTTTCTTTGTTCATCAGTCATGTCTCCAGGCCCCTGTGATATTACTCTTGCTTTTCATTTTGAAATTTTATTCAAACAAAAAATAGAAGATTTACTGTTATGCAGACTACTGCAATACTGTAATAATTGTAAAAATTACATCAACCCATTCATGACTGCATATTAGAATGGCTATTTGGACATTTATTGGACAATGACATCATTTGTTTACTTTTGAACATCGCAAAAAACAAACATTTCCCGTACTTTGTGCTCCATTTCCAGGTTCTTTTTATAGTAAAATTAATCAAAATCACCTCTGTTTCTATAATATAGTTTCCATTCTATCAAATGAGACCAAGAAAACGAGAATACAACCACAAATACTATACGAAAATAGACCACAAAATCGGCATTTTAATTAAAAAAAAAAACGGTCGGAGTTTTTTTTTTCTCATTATGCACTGCGTGCTCCAGGATTTTTTTTATATGGTGCACACTGACCACACAGACCCATTCTCTCACATGTGGGTCTACCAGCTTTCTCCTGCCTGATTTGAAGCCGCTAGAATTTATGAGTATATATATGTCAAACACGGTACCTCGTAAACGTATATATACGGCTGCGACAGTCAAAGGGTTAAACAAACCATACCACGGGCGGGGATAGAACCCGCGATCAGAGTCTCAAACCTCCAGACCGTCGCGTTAGCCACTGCACCAGCTAGCCACAATAAGATTCGTCCAACTTGGTATATTTCTACACCATAGGAAGGTTAGCATAGGCACCACTGTGACCACAAGTGCAAGTTTTTTGCATTTGTGGTCACAGTGGTGCCTATGCTAACCTGCCTATGGTGTAGAAATATACCTAGTTGGACGAATCTTATTGTGGCTAGCTGGTCCAGTGGTTAACGTGACAGTCTGGAGTTTTGAGACTCTCTGATCGCGGGTTCTATCCCCGCCCGTGGTATGGTTTGTTTGCAATCGTGTCATTACGATTTCGTGAGTCATGTCAAAGGTCTTATTATTAGAGATTAACTCAGTCTTCAACACAGCCAAAAAAAAAAGGGTACAGTCCAACACCTTGTGACTAACAATAGGAAATCATAACAGTTATAAACCAGCAGGCAACTTACCTGTTTGACCAAGGCAAGATACAACTGTCTGATTCTGGAATCGCCCACAAATAAAATATGATTGTCTTGCTTGAGAAAAGCAACATATCTCATGCATCTTCGACTGTCTCTGAAATAAAAAACAAAAAAACAAATTAAAGATGACTGTTTATACTATCTTACAGTGAACCTCATTTGCAGTGGATACTGCATTATGATCTAACAGGTAGATGGATAAAAGAAATGCTAGATAATCATAAGATTTTGTTGTTTTTATACAGTATGGTATTAAAAAAAATGTGCTGATGAAATTATTCGAACATGTGCATATTTTTTACCTATATCACATAAAAATCATGAAAATATAATGCACAACTCCAAAAATAAAATGAAAATACCTTCACAATAACAAATTCTACAATTCTTGGTTAATATGTAGTAAACAAATGTAAGAATACCACACATGCAACACTACCCAACCACATATAGTATTGTGCAGTACAAAAAACATGCATTTGTTTAAAAAAATAAATTCAGTCTTAAAAAATTTATTTCTCAATACTGAGGTCTGGGGTTCATCCCCAGTACAGGTGGAAACATTAAGATGTGTTTCCATAAAGTACCTGCTGTTCATGTTCACCTTATCAGTAAAATAGGTACCTGGGTGTTAAATGACTGATGTGGATCACATCCTGGGGACATAATTGACCTAAATTACCTGAAATGCTCTGCATAACAAGGGGCTTTCTATATATTAGTACATAGTATATCACTGATGTCTGCTAGGCCTGTATACCTTATACATGTACTTGCAGAAATATAATTATTATTATTTTTTTTAACAAGTCGGCCATCTCTCACCTAGGCAGGGTGACCCAAAAAGAAAGAAAATCCCCAAAACGAAAATACTTTCATCATCATTCAACACTTTCACCTCACCCACACACATTATTATTATTATTAAAAATTTGTATCAAACAACTATGGGCCAACACCATGTGTAATACAAGATTGTACTGTACGGTGATATATTCTGATATAAAATATCATATCTGTAGATACAAGAAGCCAGTGTGCTGGAGGTGAGATTTTGTGGAGTGCTCTTGAGATAAATAATCAACCAAATAACAGAAATGAGAAAAAATAATGAAATGGACTAAAAGAACTCATCTTCATAAACAGGTTACCATATTTTTTTCATAGCAGGAACTATACACAAAATGATGCTTACGTATTGGAGTACATATGAAGCATACAGCCATAGGGCTGCCACACCAGAGCACCCTGAAACCTTCCATCTGACAGTAATCTTTGGCAGGAATCACCACCTAAGAAAGAATAATCCAGATACAGCACATGCATTTTTAATAATTATGAATATTAACACACTAAAGGAAAAATGTAAAAATAAATATACAGTAATTTAACAGGTCACAAATAATTCTATGTAAGTCAATAAAAAAGATGACTAATTCAGGAGCATATAATGCATATAATGTACCTTCACATTTAATGTACACTACAGTACTGTATGTATTTTCTTAACCACTAACATCTCTCTCGCATCATTCCGAACACGTACTTATTAGTTATAAATATTTATATCAGAAAATGCATTCCACAAAATATGATTTTAAGCAAAAATGGTTTATAAATTAATTTTCAGACTCCAATTTTCTAAATGGTGATGTATTCCCAAAGGAATAAGGAGGAAATAATCCTATATAGTATGTAATTATTGGCAATTCATTTTTATAGAAGGACTATGCAAGCACCAATGGTATACATATACAAGAAATGACTACAGTATCATAATATGCGTGAAAAATGAAAGATCAAATATAGTATAGAAGTAGATACATTTGCCAATGATGGTTGGTTTGTCGATTAGTTGTCATGAAAAATGCAGTGGAGCAAGATTGTGTCTGATCTGAGCGATCAGCTTCAAGAAGGAAGCTGCTGCTAGGTTACACTGCTTGTAGAAAGCCTTACTGTAGACACAGGTCTCCTCTATAGAGCAGCCTTAGCTGTGAATGAACTAAAATATTTATCCAGTGAATGCTGCAGAGAGTGTTACGCTTTTCCTTACATACTGAGGCTAAAGTTGCAATCATGGCAGAGACTGGTTTTCCAGATCACTTCTAAACCCTTTAGACATTTTCCTCAGAGTTAAAAGAAGGGTAAGTATGTTTAGGAACTATCATCCTCCCTATTCTCTTCAAACACAGGATACTTTTCTTTAAGCTGTATCAACACTAAAGGAATGTCCCCATGAGACTCCAACAGCTCCAGCTCATCAGCCTCCTGAATGTTCAGTGTTTTCAATGTCTACTGGTGGCCTGGTGGCCTGGTGGCTAAAGCTCCCGCTTCATACACGGAGGGCCCGGGTTCGATTCCCGGCGGGTGGAAACATTTCGACACGTTTCCTTACACCTGTTGTCCTGTTCACCTAGCAGCAAATAGGTACCTGGGTGTTAGTCGACTGGTGTGGGTCGCATCCTGGGGGACAAGATTAAGGACCCCAATGGAAATAAGTTAGACAGTCCTCGATGACGCACTGACTTTCTTGGGTTATCCTGGGTGGCTAACCCTCCGGGGTTAAAAATCCGAACGAAATCTTATCTTAAGGACCACAATCCTCCTGTCTATGTACAGTATACATGTAGTATCTGGAACTATCTCCTGAAATCCATGGAAGTTGCTAACACTTCCAGGCCAGAAGGTTTTCTACATACCATTCAGTGTAGCCATCTTAAAAACCAGTCAATGAGGCAGATGACTTGTTATTTGCAACTGCAGTTAAAAAATATCTTGCTAAAAAGGGTATTTTGCTGATTTTAATCCTCAATCAAGAAGCCACACCAAACTTTTTAGAAATTACTTTACCAATTCGCTTCTCAAAATGTGTGGAGAAAAGTCTAAGGAAGGAGTTTCTCCAACTGTTTTTCCCTCCCTAAGAAAAGAAAGAGGATGAAAGAAATGTGGAAGAAAGTGTTCTGAGGAAACAAAATGTATGAGAAGATATGGTTCCTCCCCTCATCAAACTCAGGTATCAATATATTTCTTGAAGATTGTTGGTAGTGAGACATATTGCAGCTGAGAGACCTGATGCAAACACATTTAGTGTTTAGTTTATAATGCATTATTAATATGAGAGATACCCCACTACAACAGTTTCTACTGCAATAATGCCAATGACAGTAGTCTGAGAGGTGAGGCTAGGAATGTAGACTCAACTCCCCCTTCTCCTGCAGACATAACCAGGAGCTGTGACTCAACCCCTGCAACCACATGTAGGTAAGTACAGGGAATCTTTCAGCATCAACACATTTTGAGTTACAAACAAAATAAGAGTTTATATAAGGCCATCCAGTTGTAGCAAGTGCTACCAACAGTGTAGTAACAAATGTGGTAGGCTACATGGGATAATAAGTGTTACATCAAACACTTGTTCAACTATTATTCCACAAACACCTGTGAAACCTGACAGGCTGGTATATACACATACATCCATCTTCACAATCTGATGCTAAAACACTCATTCTCTCTCTTTCATTCTCTCACTCTCATTCTCTTTCATTCTCTCCCTCTCATTCTCTCACATTCTCTTTCATTTTCTCACTCTCATTCTCTTTTTCATTCTCTCACTCATTCTCTCTCAATTCTTTCAAGCATTCATTCTTTCACAAGCTCGTTCTCTTGCCCACTCATTCTCTCACCCACCCATTTTTTCACACTCCTTCTCTCATCCACTCATTCACTTGCCTGCTCCTGCTCATTCTGTCACTCACACCCATTCTCTCACACTCCTCTCTCCCATTCATTCTCTCATCCTCCTCCTCCTCTTTCCCACATATTCTTTCATCCTCCTTCTCTTGTCTGCTCATTCTCTCATCCACTCATTCTCTCATCTATTCTAAGAAATACCACCTTTACCAAGGCCACTGAAACAACTCACTGAATGTATGTGTTTGTTTGTGTGTGGGGGAGTACCCCCACGGAAGTGTGTGTGTACCAGTGAGACTACTACTAGTTACCACTGACTCTGCTCAGGGGCAGATCTACTATGAAAATAATGAAGCTTAAGCTTCAGGGCCCCTAATCCTGGAGGGGCCCCAGAAACAACTTTACTCCACATTGTTTAAAAAGTTTGGGTCTACTGTATGAGAAGGGGTTTTTAAAAAATAATATTAATAGAGTGTAATTCAATACAAAATAATAGTTAAAATAAAAATTAAATGGTTATTAAAGTATCACGTAGGCTAGCCGCTGCTGGTTGCGAAGGGGCCCCCATAACAGTTAAAGATTGAAGATTAAAGAATTGGGTATGGACAGGTGACTGATAATGAACAGGAAGTGTGTTCTCTGTTTAATGGTTATTTCTTGTCAGTCTTTATTCAGCATGATACAATGTCAGTACAGAGGAGAATGACATTTAGGTGTACATGCAGAAAGCCCCTTAATATGTAAAGCATTTTGGGCAAAATTAAGCCTACCTTAAGATTAATCAGACAGTAAAAAACTGATTGCTTATACATATAGTTTCTTAACTGGTTGTAAAAGCTTCAGGGCCCTAAAAATGTATACCTGGAGAGGGTTTCGAGGGTTAACGCGCCTGCGGCCTGGTCTGTGACCAGGCCTGCTATTAGATGCAGTGGACCCTCGGTTATCGGCTGTAATCCATTCCAAAAGCTCAGCCTAAAACCGAAATGGCCGAAAACCGAAATAGTATTTCCCATAAGAATTAATGTAATTACAATTAATCTGTTCCAAACAAAAACATTCACCAAAAAATAATTTTTTTAACAATTAAATCACATTGTTTTCATATCTTAGTGACTATATTGTGTGTGCAATTAGTGTATATTTCAATTATATTATTGTTCAAGGCCCTTAACTATCTTTTGCTAACTAGTACCAACTACCTCATATATCTTTTTTTTTTTTCTACTTTTTTTATTCTTTTGCTACCTTAATTTGTATATTTTATCTTGTCAATTTAAATCTAGTTATAATCTAATTCTTGTAAACAACTTATATAACACCTTAGTGCAATTACAATTGAGAGTCTTGTGCCTTTTTTATATTATTAGATTAAACTCAGTTGTACTATAGTCAATACCAAATTCATTATATTAGACCATATTGCAATTACTAGTGAGAGACTGGTGCTATTTTTAATTTGTATTTTTATATTATTAGATTAAATCTAGTTGTACTATAGCTCATTCTAGCTCAAAACATAGACTCCACAAAAGTCATTATATTAGACCTTAGTGCAATTACAAGTGAGAGTCTTGTTCTATTTTAAATTTGTATTTTTATATTACTAGTTTATACCTAGTTGTACTTTAGTTCATTCCAGCACAACACATAGACAACATCAACTTCATTATGTGTAGTAGTGACTATACTCTATATGACCAAAATACTCTAGCTATATACTTATCCAAGCTTCCCACCACTACAGATATCAGTACTAGAACTCAACACATAACTCGGGATATAAATAACCATAATTTAAACCTAGAAGATGATTGATCACGTTGACCCTGATCTAAACCTCCATAATCTGACACCCAATCAAACCTATTGGAAAGTAACTGCCTTTATTACACAGCATCACAAGCCAGCACTATCCTAAACAATGCTAAAGCATTGGCCTGGTGGTAAAGCTCCCGCTTCACACACGGAGGGCCCGGTTCGATTTCCCGGCGGGTGGAAACATTTCGACACGTTTCCTTACACCTGTTGTCCTGTTCACCTAGCAGCAAATAGGTACCGGGGTGTTAGTCGACTGGTGGGGTCGCATCCTGGGGACAAGATAAGGACCCCAATGGAAATAAGTTAGACAGTCCTCGATGACGCACGACTTTCTGGGTTATCCTGGGTGGCTAACCCCCCGGGGGTTAAAAATCCGAACGAAATCTTATCTTATCTCTTAACTACAAACAGGCCCTTAAGCAAACCTATGATGACCTCCTGGCACTCCTTGAATCACTAAAGACACCCTTCTCCTGCATTATTCTTACGAGACCTGGCTTAAGCAGGACACAATAGATATCTACCCTCTACCAGGATACACAGCAATTCACAACTGCAGACCAAACCAAGTTGGGGGTGGTATTGCAATCAAATTACTCTAACAATTATCTTGTATTAGCACCACTTGCTTTAGTGATGAATATGGGAATACATTTTGCAAATTTTTACTGTAAAAAACCTTAAGACACCTATAACAATCGGTGCCATTTACCAGATACCTCACACAAACACCCCAAATTTCAGTGAAAAATTAAAGTCACTAATAACAAACAGACAAATGAAT